CTGCAGATGTTTACGTAGTTTGGCTCGGGTTGGATGGAGCGAGCTTGTAAGCATCTCTGAGGTGAGGCGTCGCGTATTTGGTAATGATTTGATGGAGAATTCGTTGTCCCATGGAATTCAGATTAGTTGGCTTCGCTGATTAGGACACGTATTGCGCATGTCCAGCCATCGTCTGCCGCATCACGCCTTATTCGCAGTTGCGGCTCCAGGTTGAAAGAAACCCCGTGGCAGTCAACAGATGACATGGATACGAGGCTTGAAGAACTGCACAGAGCGATAGAGAGAATCGGTCTCCCGTCTTCCAGGTTGGGGTCCGAAAGACTCTGCAACTGGACATTTAAAGATATGGCGATTAACCGACAGTAATGGCGTTCTTGTTGTCATTTCTTAACAAATCAGAAAAGATACGTATGCACACTTAGATTGTGTACTCTGTGTTGAACATACAGATTCTTTTTCTTTGCCTCCTTCCAAATAGGCCCAATCTCTCTCCATCTTGTGCTTTATCACTTGATTTGTGTACATTGTGAGCTTGGTAGCGATCAGTGAAGCTCGCTTCACTGTATCTCGCTGTACGATGATGATGAATTGAATAACCCTTTGGTTACCTTCCTTTACCGTGACCACTCAGGTTTCTATTTGCACCCCAATTAGCTTCATCTGATCGCATTCACTCAAACTGCCAACCATCATTGCGAGTGATCTGTTTGCATTTCCTGATTGCAACCGACTCCGCAAACCTAAGCAGCCGGGGGTTTGTGTTGGCGTAAACGATCTTAAATCGGCTTGTCTGGGCCGGACCATGAATCGTCATCAGAAAATATCGAGCGATAGATGACACAGACCGTTTGTGTTCAGTGTCCTTGGGTAAGGGCGGACGTTGGTACTGGTGTCATGTTATCGAATGCGTTATTGGTGGGTGATGCGTGCGTGTGGGTCTGAGGAGTCAAACTGAAGAATGACTTTTGATCACGTGATTCGGTCCATCGGCATCTAATCCAAAATGGGATGTGCTCCTGGATCTGTGTATGCAAATGCCTACCTGTTCTGCCAATCAAAGATGCTCCGCATCCACATTCAATCTGGTAAATAACGTGATTTGGTGGACAGTGGTAGGACTTACCTTGTGTGTGGTTGTGTACAGGACGATTGGGTTAGAAGCATTATAAGCGCGTTCTACCACATGTGATAAACTCATTGCGCAAAATGGGCATCTGGATTGTCTTACCGGGACTTTCTGTCGTATTATTTGTCACCATTGAGCTCCCGAAAGTATGCCATGCAACAGAAAGCAGAAGTTCATTGCGCTAAATGTGAGACCTAATCTCCACACCCTCTGCACGGTACAGATAGCGTGAGCGTCGGAAACAAAACAAAACGGATGTGAAGCAATTTTTCGATACAACAGAGTGGTCGGGGAGATATAAACATTAAGCGCGGCACAAATCTCGTACACTCATACGAGTAAGGATACTCTCGCGCAGTGTCTCGTGCGGATTGTTAGATTTCATGATGTAATCCGCCTCCGGGGAGGTGATCCCGTACAATGCGTACAGTGTTTCGCGTCTTGCTTGATCCAACTGCGTCAATGTGTCCGGATCCATTGGTGTGCCTTGGATCAAGGTTTCCAAAGCGGCCCAGAGGTCTGGCTCGTCCGGGTCCCGTGCACGGACTAGAACAACAACCAAGCGTTTTGTGGTCGATTTCACACTGAACGTGTTCAAGGCGCGATTCAATGCGCGCGTTGGAGAGAGACAGTAAATCACTTCAGTCGCCAAGTCACGGGTAATCATACGCTGAGCGTGTTTGTGCAAGAGAGCCTGGGTCACAGCCGCATCTATCTGAGCGGAGAAAACGGGAATGAATCAAATCCGTAATTGGCTAACAGAACACCAAGTGAGTAGGTTAGTGACAACCTCTGAACAAGAAAAATCGAACAATTTACACGAAATGAAATGCTCGTTTTAATTCACAGTTAGAAAATCTGAGGGACATTGAATGTATGAAACCAAGGTATTCGGCGTTCAGTTTATTCAACTGACGAGTGCGTAGTGATTGACAAACAAGACACCAGATCGAACGGGTCATCTGTGAACCTTAAGTTTGCCAAATAAATCAATTTCACCGGGCACAAAAGGTGAACATCTATTGGATGGGAATTAACTACGGAGCGTAGTTTCGTTGGGCCCTGTACATGGCATCCTGAAAAGTGCAAAATGTGTTGTTGCAATGATCAAGCAGAGGTTGTCGGTGAGTACCGCTCGCAAAACGCATTGGGGAAAGTCAAACTTCTCTCGCCTAACGCTTTTTGTCACAACATAGGAATCAATAAGACCACACTATTAAACACGGTTTTCTCACACGGAGGAGAACCAAAATCCAATTTATTCTGTTACCGTCTAACAGCTTAAATCCAGACGCAAAGCATGACACTTTTTCAGGAAGCTTGGCAGTTAAATAAAAACCTGAATTGGTCTCAACTGACGATGGGCAGAAAGCAGATGACAGTTGGGAGATCTTTTCGGACGAAAGAGGACTATGGGTTCATCAACAACAAAAAACTAAGCTAGGTAATTGTGGCAGGTTTGATACATATATGGCTACGCAATCCGGATATTGGGCTTTCATACTCTCAATTTTGTGGGAAAACGGCTCCGCCGCGAGAAGGTAGTGAGTAGGGTTTCCTCGGCAGAAGCTATTTGAGACGCTTGGTCGTAAGGGAGCGTTTCCCGGTGACCAGGCGTAACCCAAGATGCCCATCCCCGACCATTCTGAGGATGTCCGTCGATAGGGGACAGTTGCATCACTGTTCAAGATTTTCTACTCCCTGGCACACTGAGGAAAGGGTTTTCTTTAGAAACCTAAAAATCATAACCCGCAATGCAACAGGAATTTCTTCTGGGAATCCAAACTGGAATCTTTGACTCACGTCTGGCCCACAGGGTAGCTAGGCATCAGCTCAGCGCGGAAACTTGATCGAAGAACATATTTAGATGTACCACTTGATAACCGTTCCGATGCTAGTGTTTTATCGAGCCTTTTGGGTGTATTGCGTCACGTTCCCCTTACGTTGTTGGTTTAACTTAAAGCTTGATCCACAGAGGACCAGTTCGTCAGAACACGAACCGGGTAATAATCTGCCGTGCATCAGTCTGAACTTCGTTGGGCTTGGAAAGCCCAAAAACACATTCACACTACATTTCAAGTCAAGTCAATTCAAGAAAAGCTTTATGCACCCAAAGGTGAATTTTCAGCAATTTACGAGTTTTACAGTGGATAGTTAAAATAATTGTAAACAAAAAGAAAAATACAGTATGAGAAATTCTGTACTTTAATAAATGAGAAAAAAATTCAGACAAGAGCTTTTCCCTGAGGTGGGTGAGGATATGCTGACGATTTACTAGTAAACGAGCTAGGTAAGGAATTACACTGTTTCGATATGTGGAAGTCCGCGCAGGAAGGAGTTGATATTTGGAGCAAGTCCGGGGAATTGACAGGGCTTTCGCGATATCTTGGTGCAGACAGTGCTCTTGATTATGCGTTATCCTGTCAATGA